ATATCTTGATATCCACTTTTACATATGGGTAATAATAATATAGGAGTGTTTTCCCTTTAAATCACATTAAATTCCTTTCTTTGTAGAGTGTTACATACACGTTTCATTTCTTGACCTGGCCACCTACACTAACATTAATTCAAACTTTTCCTCATTATTTATCTTGCTTTCCAGAAAAATTAAGATTAAGATCGAAAACCACTCCATTTGATCATCATGAAGACCAAACCATTTCTCTTCGCAAAATGTATACCTGCTTTTAAACTGAGTTCTACCTTCCCTATTAGATTTACAACATAAGTAATATGTGTATTTGTGCGTGTCTGTGTTGCATATGTAGGCACATTATTCAACTTTAATTTTCCCCATATTACCTTTCTTTAGATTTGGACAAATATCTAACAATACCTGTTTAGTGATCAAACTATCTGTGACTCTCACTCAAAACCTTCCCCGTATCACACATTATTACATATACCAGTTATCAGTGTATTGCCTCTTAGCTGCAAGTCCACTTTCTTTCTCCTTCTTTGTGATACAGGAAAAGGACTCTGTAAACACTGCTCCTTCCAGCTCACACCATGTTAGGCTTCATTATTAGAGGGTGTGGGAGGGATATGTCAATATCATAGCAAGAGGAGGGATTTTTCTGGTTCCCTTCCTGGTTCAGGGGTACTGCCTGTCTTTGGCACAGCTTTAAAGGACTGGCATGCTGAGAGTTTTCAGCCACAAGGTAGGACATTCCTGTGCCCTAGCTTCACATGTATCCGTACATGCGTCCTTCCCTGCACCAATGGCCTGTTCCTATAGCAACAATATCCTTCCCAGTGAGGCCTGAATCTCAGCCCTGGGGGGAAGGGCACTCTTCCAAGTCCTTGGTTCCTTCCCTGTTAGTGAGGCTACACCCATAGAAGTAGAATCTGCCTTCTGTATTTACTAATTCTGTATTGCTTAGAGTCTTCCCTTACCCTGTTTTATTCTTCAACCTCCTGTACTATTTAACATAATTCACTATATTAAATTTTCCCTATTCAAATTGTTACTATGGAGGTTTTCTTCTGACTGCACCTTGATGGTAGAGTAAGTATGTGCCCACTTGGCAGTCTTGCAAATATCAGAATCCCAAGCCAACTATTGGAAAGACTGAGTGAACAGGTGAATAACAAGAGAAGTAAAGTAGAAAATCTGACATGACCAAAGAGAATCCTGTAGGACTGTGTTTGGCTGATGATTCAAGGGAAATGTATCATTAGGAAAAATGTCTAGGATCTTCAAACATTTCAAGGGTCTACTGAGATGTTAAATATGTGTTTTATTTTAGGGAATATTTCCATATATAGATACACATGCACAAACATATACACACACTCACACACACATACACTCCAACACAGAAAAAGAAAACTAAAAATATCAATATAAGTAATTTTTTAAAATTTAAATGTTGTCAACTACAATCCCAGTCAACAACATTTGACATATAGTTTGGAATGTGAGTGCATTTTAATATAATGTATGGCAGGGTCTCCCAAAATAAGAAAGCATACCTTAAGCCTGCTCATTTTCTTTTAAGTTCTTGGATTAAATTCACTGAAGATACTGAAGTTTTGAATTCAGTTCAGAAATGAAGTAATTTAAATTTGTGTTCTGTCACTAATGACTGCACACCTAACATCAGCTACCAGATTTTATTTTAAATTTTTGCATATAAATGTATTAACAATTATTTTTAAGAATGACAGCAGCAAACAGAACCACAGACACTCAGCCAGTAGACATGTGATTGATCATGAATGCTTCTGTCAGAAGTAATGGGATGTGGTATACTTGACCTTTGAGTCTTCAGCTTCACGTATCAGGATTCCCTGCTCTTGGCTTCAACTTGACACCAATTGATTCCTTATGTTGACTGTTCACTTTAATTCTTGCAGGAGAATTATAGTGCTTTTCCCATTTCTTTTTTCATATATGAGTTTTCCCACAATTCTAACTATAGAATTTAGAATTTGTAAAAATACATAAATTTACCGATAAATGACTAGAAGGAATTCCTACCTGGAAACATTAACTAAACAATCAGTGTTTTCTTTTCTAAACAAAATTTCAACATTATTAAGGTATAACTGAAAAATAAAATTTTAAGTCATTTAAAGTGTACACAGTGGTGATTTGATGTATATATACATTGTTAAAGGATTTTCCCCACCAGTTAATTAGCACATTCACCACCTCATATTCATCTTTATTTTGTGCACATGTGTGTCAGAACATTTTAGTTCTATGCTCAAAGAATTTTAATTATACAATACACTGTTATTAACCACGGTCATCACATTTTATATTAGATCCTCAGACCTCATTCATCTCATAGCTGAATCTTTGTACCCTTTTACCAATCTCTTCCTTTCTTCCCCAATCTTAGCCCCTGGTAACCCCTTATCTACTCTCTCTTTCTATGAACCTGACTTTTTAAAAAAATTCTGCATCTAAGTGATACCATGTAATACCTTGTCTTTCTCTGTCTGGCTTATTTCACTTAGCATAATGCTTTTTAATGTTGTCACAAATGTTAGGATCTTGTTCTTGGCTGAATAACATTCATATATATATATATATGTGTGTGTGTGTGTGTGTGTGTATGTATATTTATTTATTTATTTATATTTATATATGTATGTATGGAATGTTTCCATATCTTGGCTGTGTGAATAAATTCTCCTCCTTTTTAAAAACTGGGTTGTTTTAAACTGGTATTTTTTTTCATTATTTTTTGTTATTGAGTTGTGTCAGCTCTTTATGCATTTTGGGTATTAACCCCTTATCAGATATATGATTTGCAAATATTTTCTGCCATTATATATTCATCTTGTTTATGAATTCATCTTGTTCCTGTGCTGTGCAGAAGGTTTTTTTCAGTTTGATGTAGTCCTACTTGTTTATTTGCTGTTGGTGTCAAATCCAAAAATAATTGCCAAGACCTATGTCAAATAGTTTATCCCCTATGTTTCCTTCTACTTTTATGGTTTCAGTAGTTACATTCAATTCTTTAACCCATGTGAAATTGAAGCTACCAGCTTTCTAAATGTGTAATCCTAAAGGATGATCAGAACAAACAGGAGGATTAGTCTAATCCATTATTACCACTGGAAGAGAGTCACTTTGTACAATTTGCCAAAAATATATGACTGAGTTTATCTAAAACTCCCAAATAACAAACACTTGATGTGTCTAGAAAAAGCATATATGTATTTTTTGTTTTTGACTTTTTTGAGATTAAATAATTCATTTTGCAAAAAATAAAATGAAAACTTTAGTGTACTAACTGTTACTACTAATATTTACAACACAAAATACACAACATTGAAAATTTTGATATTTTGGGGTCCTACATAATTTGCCTTTCTGTTTTGGCCAGTAATAAGACACCAAAGTAACCATATGAGAATCATCATTTATGTAATTATTCTGTAGTTTTTCAATGCAGTGGCTAGACAAAATTCTGCCTTCTCCACTTGATTCCAAATAGGTTAGATGCTCATTCTTAAAGTGTCTCTGTAATATTCGGGAGCATTTACTAAGACATGCTACAAAGACATATTATCTTTACAGCCAACCAATAATATTTGGAATCCACACCTGTGTTAAATACATCTCTGTCATCTTTTCATGTTCCTACACACTTAAATTGACCTATGGAAAGAGGCAGATTAAGATACTGCAAGGGACTGGAGATGGTTATGTTGAAAATACATTTCTTCCTATTTTTGAAGACTTGTGACTAAGACCCAGAATTGAGGGGAAAAAGACAATTAAATCTTCACATTCTAATCTGAAATAACTTTGAAGACTTGCCATTGTTCGGTTTCAACCATCTCCCCGAAGTTGAGGGCCATCATTCCTCTGCCTCCTTACATTTTCAGCCATCCAACTCAATATAAGAAAAGGGCTATGAGTTCAGAGGAGTGGCTCTTGTGGAATAAAAAGCAAATATTTTATGATAAAAGTGGTATATCTGCTACCTCAAGGAAAGGTAGAGATATCCCAATAAATTGGCTAACAATACTTATGAATGTCTCCACAAAAGGAAAATCTTTAGTTTTTGTGGCTTTGTCTTGGGGGAAAGCCCGTCATCCTGCTCCCTAGGTTATCAGAGAGGGAAGAAAACTGGAGAGATGACCTAGGGAGAATGACCAGGCAAGGCACAGAAATGGGCATCTCCCTGAATTCTCCCTTCCCGGGATAGAAGAGGGCAGATGAAAAATTATTTCAACTAAAAATTCCATAACAAAGCACTATAATTAGCTACAGAAATGGAAGACTGATTGCCAATTTTTTTTTGCTAACTCAAGAATTTATCTATAATGTTTCTAGTCCACCAGTTACTAACCCAACAGACCAACTTCCCTCTCCTACCCACCTCACTTTAAAGAAAACTAAACATCAGTTACACAGAATATAAGATGGTCAAGATTCTAGTTTTCTTTAGATTGATTTACATATGCTTCCTAAGGATGTAGAATGCATGATGCATGTACTGTATGTATTCAGAAAGCATGACAAGGAGCCCACCTTACTCAGTACCTTTGGAAAGTGTCCATTTATGACACTCAGCATGATCACAGTCTGTAAGAAGCAGTTGTCTATGAATCTGTATAGACGTTACTTATGGAAGTCCAAGCAGGTGTCTTATTCCTAGAAAATGGTTCTCAGTAATATAATCACTTTTATTAAAAAATTTTTTACAACACTAAACTTAGGTAGACACACTTTGAATATATATATATATATATATAAATTAAATATAAAGAGTTAATTTGAACACTCAAGCTGGAATGGTGCACCACAGATACAAACAAACATCTTAAACTCACCATGTATTTGGGTATACTAAATAAGTATGAGAAAGATACATAATTCTATAAAACCAAAAACACTTGCTTATTCTAAATTCCCATACTTCCCATTATATGAAGTAAAAATACTATTTAATGACAACTCACCATATCTGTATCTGAGACAGGGCCAAAACTGGTCACGTAGATGTTAGTGAAGACTTCAGTAATACTGTCTGATATGAGAAAAAGAGATTGAATATAGATAACATGTAATGTGAGCCACCGAGAGAAAAGGGGTCAAATATATGGCATAGTTAGAAAGCTACATAATGTTTAGGAATATTGCTTTTTATTTTCTTTTCAACTTTCACAATCAAGAAAAATATCTACATTGCTCAATTGTTTTATAATACTTAATGCTAAATGCCTGGAAGTATTATGACATTCTTACTGGGAAACTATACCTGATTAGAATGTTCTGTTTTAAGCATGTTGCTCAGAATGAATAGATTTTTAGAATCTATCTTCATTGAACTGTTTTACAATAAATTTATCACCATAGAAAAATTAAATGTGGTTAGTAATAGTTACCATTTGAAATAGTCCTAAATTTGATATTTAAACTAAATATTTCAGGTGGTTTTTCATGATGGTAGAGATTTAGTTTGTAGATTGTAAATTAGTATATAGCCCAAATAAAGCACAAAAACTGGTTGTTGATCATTATAAATAAATGTAATTCATATTAATATAAAAAGCTCTATTATTAAGTGACATAAAAATAAAAGCAAATGACCTACAATCATAATGAATTATTTCTAAATGAGTTTAAATGTATTAGAGAATGCCTAAAATGCTAAGTTTGAAGTGAATTAGATTCTAAAGTTATATAACTTATTAACTGTAACACAATTAACTGGATTGCTCTTTTAAATGGTTGATTTAGATCTTTGATTTTAAGTAAGCCAAATGATGATGGTGGAAAAGCTCAAAGAAAAGATTTAAAGGAAAAACCTTTTCAATATTCTTAAAGGAACTAAAAAGTACATCATTAATTTCTGTCACCATGAACTGAATATCTCATCTGCTAATGTCAGATTTGTAATTCTACACATTATGAAATATTTTTATTATTATACTGGACATTAATTCACAACCATGAAAGAGAAAGTAATCTAAGTCTGGGCTATAGTATCCACTAAGGCAAAAATAAAAAGCAAAAAGGATTTTGAAATAACAGAGTAGACTTTAAATGCTTTAAAGGACTTGAAATACAATAACCTGCATGACAAACCTATGAGCTAGATTCTCTGTTATAATCCTAATATTGATGTACAGAAAGGTGAAGTAATGTGCCCAGTGACCCACACTTGGTAGAGGAGAGACAGCCAGGTTTTCGAACCCCAGCAATCTGGTTCCTGAGCCTTCAGGGTAAACCAAAGTATTATACCACAGACAACAATAAATTTGAAACTAAAAGTGTTTTCTCATTAATGGCATATTTCTATTCATCATCATACTCTATTCCAAGACAGTTATAATGTTCCATGTAAGTATATTTGAGAAACTTTATTATTTTACATTCTATTTTGTACCAAAAACTGTATGTATGAATTCTATCACAAAACTCATCTGAAACATAAATATATTTATAAAGTTCATTCTCAGCTGCCACCCTCCCCAAAGAGCAGCACAGGAGCAGTTTCACGGGCCTGTAGCTGGTGCAGTCACACAGGGCCCTGTGCGCAGAAGAGCCCCATGTTTAGCTTAATGTTCTGTTTTTGTTCTCTTGAAATTCTTTATTATTTTTTGAATAAAGGGCTCTGCATCTTCATCTTGGACTGAGTCTCCCAAATTGTGTAGCTGCTCCTGGACCTGATTTATATAAGCTATGAGAAAGAAATGATGAAAATAGGACTCAAGTTTGTTTACTTTTTCCTCTTATATTCATACCAAATCAATCATGTTATCTCATTTATTCAATAAACAATTGAATAAAACTTTAATCATTCTAGATATTGATTTAAAATGTTTCAGAGAAGAGAAATTAAAAAGTTAAAGGAATTCTTCATCCAAATAAAGTTAAATGAAATTAATCTCCTTAGTCTGATTAATGAAATAAATCTCCTTAGTAAATAGATGAACTAATATTTTGGTGGCAACTTCAGTCTCTGCATTTCAGGGACTATGAGTTGCCCTTAGTCTAGAATAGTAAAGTTAGAGAAGAGAGATGACCAAAAATGAGTGACTATATTCCTGGTAAAGATATGAGGAAATATCCATTATATGCCAAATGGCAAGTAAAGAGGAAGGGAGAGTATTATTGGTACTTAGTGGCTGCAAGAAAATGCCAGCTAAGAATCCAGAGAGAAAGAAACAAGAGCAGCCTCAGAGCTGTAAGCAGTATGAGGAAAGAACACCTAAAGATGTAGAACACAGATATGCAAAGTTACCTTAAAGAAAAATGCTTCCATGGCTTATTGACTTCATACACAGTTAAAGAATATGTACTGCAAGGGACAGTTTCCTGTTATGGAAGATCAGAAAAAGGAAATTCAGCAAGCTACAACACTAACAATGAATACCCAATAGCTATCTGAGTTGGGAAAGGGATTCTTGGTAATGAGACTTAGAGGATTTCTGTACAGATGGATGTAGAGTTGTCAACAGCCAACATGTGTAGTGAAATATTTTAGTGTGATGACTACAAATATTTGATACATCTAACACAACTTACCAGGGCTCTATACTTGAAGTGCAATCTTTGATTATGATTTGGCTTTCCATAAGAGAAGGGAAGGAAAGGAGAGGGAAGATGAGATTTTATGAATAGACATTATTTCTGTATCTTGTGACACTAACTTGTCAAAGTAACCCATAGTATATTCTGGTTTTCTTTTGTTTGCCCATGTGGACTTAGACCAGGGTTTGTGTTGTTATTACCTGTTACAATATTCTGATCCATGTGGCACATATATATCACAGAGTAATTCTGAAATTTACTCTCTGCATTTCAGGGAGTATAAGTTGCCCTTTCAAGTTCTGACCGCATTTAGTGGATGTACAAAGTACTGTCCTGACTCAGTCTTCACACTGGCTATTACCTCTTCACTTCTTTTCCTAGTTAATTGCTCCTCTGCCCTTCAAGTCTCAATTTAAATATTTTCTCCTCAGGTAAGGGCTCCACAATCCCCCCTATATAATGTAACTCTACAACTCTCATTTTCTCCCTCTAACACTTACTTTCATGGAACTTTCTTGAATTTGCCATTATTTTCATACCTTAATATATATATATTTACTTTGTACATGTGGATGGGTGTCTATCTCCCAACCAGGATTCAAATTCACTAAAAGACAGGGTCTGTGTCATTTCTGTTCACTGTCACATCACCAGTGCTTAGCACACAATGAGTACCCCATATTAGATGTTTTATATTTGAATAAACAAATAATGTCTAATTATAGTTCACATAGAATATATGCCTTTTCCCAAAATATTTCATCCACATTTAAAATGGCCACGAATAACTGTTACTACTCATACAGAATGGGCACTGTCATTTGTGACAGCAGAGCTCAGACTACCCATTGACAGAAAGTTGAAAGCCTAGGCAATTTGTTCAAGTGAAGAAACTGAAAGTCAAGCAAAAGAGAAGTATGTATTTAAAGAAAGCACTATTTCAGTGGAAACCAAAATTTACCTACTGAACAGTAAGCAACTTTTAACAGAAATGTCCACCATGAGTTACCTCAAAATAAATAAATGTTCATCAGCTAAATTTTTGGTTTTAGGAATATCAACAGCATAATATGCAGAAGGCAAAGGATCTTCTATATAGATTTTTCCAAAAGCTAATAATGAGACACCATGAAGTTAATAATAGGTATTTTTATAGAAATAAAGAGTGCATGCAGTAAACAGAGAAGAATGTGTGATCCTTACGAACAATAATCAAATTCAGGACGGCAGCTATTATTGGGAGGGAAAGGAATAACACACTAGAGATGCACATGGAACTTCTCGTGTATTTCTAGTAGTTTCCCTTTAAAATTGATCTTAATCAATTTCGGAAAGTCAAGATTTAGTGAAACTGGTCACAGAAAAAAATAATACTGCTCTATACTTTTTTGAATGCTTGAAATACTTAATAGAAAAAATAAATAAGTAGCCCCGAAAGATGTGTAAAATAAACACATAAATCATTTTAAGAAGAGTTTAAATTAATTCATGAAATTGTTCTTCACTGGGTGATACAGCACACAGCAAAAATCAAGCCTACTTTAAAAAATGCTTTGCAAATAGTTTGATTCATGCAGAATGGTGAGGTATCGGCTGTGAAGAAAGGAAGAGGTATCAAAAAGATCGGATATGCCACAATGATAATACTGTCTGTGTATATATACACCTTCAGCAAGGTATTCAGAAAGACTTTGATTTGCAGAATGTTATGTCCAGGGCTATTGTACTAGAAATGTTTTTACATTTATTAATAGTGGGCAAACTCAATCAGAGGAGATGGAAGACAATATACCCAGTTTGGAAAAGGTTGCAGTAGTTGAGGCAAAAGAAAAAAAATGACAATGAGAATAGAAAAACATAGAAATCAAGGGATTTTTAAAGCGGTGCTGTTAAAAGATGCCAAAGTAAGCCCTGTTGTTTGACTATTAGACTATCTTTAGAGCCTGGAAACAAGCAGTTGCAGTAGAATTGTAAGGACAAAAAACAAATAAAGGAGGATTGGAAAGTCATGAAGCCATGAAGACAGCAAGTGGAAAATATTTTCTCAAACACCTTGTCAAAAAAATATGTGAAAAAAGTTGCGGATAATTGAGTTGTACTGGGTAATGTAACACACAATAGCAGTCAAACCATTCAAACAGAAATCTCTAACATTTGGCAAGAGTAAAATCATGTCTCTAAAGTTTTTTGTGAATGATTGATGGACTTTTGAAATTATGCATATAAGGTCCGTTGCTTCCAGAGGTTCATTACAGGCGGGTGCATGACTTTCAACACAACTGAATATAGCCGTTGGCTTTTGTTACTTCCTCAGTGAGGCCATCTTATCATCCTATTTTAAAGTTCAACAATTCCACATCCCTCCCTGTTCATTTAATTACTATGATTACTGTTTAGTGCCTGTACCTACCCATATGGTAAACACAAGCTACACATGGCTATCTAAATTTAACTTTCAATTAAAACAAAAAAGGTTGGTTCCTCAGGCAT